GAATAGGCTGTTAAACATTTTTCATCTTCATTCTTGGTAAAATAAAGACTCAAGTCCTTTGTCTCCTTAACATACTGTAAAACACGTTTAGCAGCTTTCCACACAGTTAGGTTAGGTTTGTCCAAAAAACGACCTAGGTAAGACACAGAAAAGCAAATATCTGGTCTTGAGATCATAGCCAGGTAGTTCAAACTGCCAATTAACTCTCTATAAGGTACATTGGTTATAACCTCTTCTTTAGGGTTAACTTGTAGATTACTTTCCATAGGCGTACTTTTGCCTTTACAGTTTTCCATGTTGAAACGTTTAAGAATCTTCTCAATTAGTTTGTCTTGATTTATTTTAACACAGTCTTCAGTTTGAGTCACTTTAGTTCCTAGAAAATGTTCCAGATTACCAAGATCTTTAGCATTAAACTTATTTCTCAGTTTCTTCACTAAAATTTCAACTTTACTTTCTTCTCCAGTTATTAGACAGTCGTCTACAAAAAGTGTTAACCAAACATCTTCATTAGAGTACAAACATACATCATGTTTTGATCTTTGAAGTCCATTCTGTTTTGAAAAACTGTCGAAACATTCGTTCCAGCAACGAGGCGATTCCTTCAGACCATATAAAGCTTTATTAAGCTTCAAAACTTTGTCTTCTTTTTCATTAACACCTTCAGGTATTTTTATGTATACCTCTTCGGTTAGTGTCCCATTAAGAAAGGCAGATGGAATATCTAGATGTCTTAATTTCCAACCATTCTGCACAGCATGTGAGATTGTCATTCTGATAGTAGGCATCTTGGCAACTGGGGCGTAAAGTTCATTCGAGTAGCTAGTTTCTTGAAATCCCTTAGCGACGAGCCTCGCTTTTTTAACTCCATCCGATTTGGTCCGAAAAACCCATTTTGTTTCAATGGCTTTCTTATTTTCTGGTAGATCTGCTACTGTCCAAGTTTCAAATTTTCTATGTGCTTCGAGCTCTGTTTCAATAGCCTTTTCCCATTCAATTCCAGCTTGTATAGCTTGTTTATATGTTACTGGATCTTTATCGCATGTAAGTAGGCAATAGGCTGTGTATACGTCGTAATCTTCAAAGCGCTTTGGCATTTTAACTTGTCTTTTGCTACAAGTTGGAGATGGTGTTTTCTGTATAGTAGTAGGCCTAGGTGATGTCACTCTTTTGTCTGCTGTATCTTCATCTTCTGAACTGTCATGGATCGGTTCTGGATTATCAATGTCGTCTTCTTCGTTCTCCACTATCAAAGGTCTATTTAATTTATATACATAATCACCTTCATCAAATCTTACATCTCTGGATATCACAATTTCATTAGTTTCAGGATTCCATAACCTATATCCTGCTCCTGCATAGCCTACCATTCTCATTTCTATGGCTCTAGGATCAAGTTTGCTTGCTTTGGGTAGTCTATACACCCATGCCTTACTGCCGAACACACGAAGTTTTTCAAGGTTAAGTTGGCCTAGATAAATTTCTGCTGGTACTTTTCCATCAAGTGCTCGAGTAGGCGATCTATTTAGTTGGAATACAGCACACCGTATCGCTTCTCCCCATAAGTTCTTAGGTAGATTTGTATCTACGAACATAGTTCTGACTTTGTCGAGCAAAGTACGATTCATGCGCTCTGCTACACCACACTGTTGTGGGGTGTATGTTGCGGTTAATTCATGCCTAATGCCATGTTTGGTACAGTATTCTTCAAATGAATTTGAAGTAAATTCTTTCCCGTTATCAGTTCTTACTTTTGAAACTACTATATTTTGTGCTCTTAGTTGTTCAATGTGTTTTCTTAGGTTAGGTTCAGCTTCTGACTTATTTTTTAAAAGATAAACTTGAGTGAAATGAGAAAAATCATCGATCACTGATAAATAGTACTTCTCTTCATTTTGGGTTGGATCCTTGACTGGTCCCCAAATATCCGAGTACAATAACTCACCGATTCTAGAAGATCGAGGTTTTTTACATTCTTTGAAAGGTAGCCTACTAGCCTTACCTTTTTGACAAGAGTCGCAGACCTTTTTACTGTAGGGTAGGTTTAGCATTTTTAATCCTTTTCTGTTTACGTGTCCTAGGCGAAGATGCCAAATGTTTTCTTGAGAGCTTGAAATTAGTGCTTTATGTCTAGGCCTATTATGTACATTGAAGCTTGCCACAAACAAATTATTTACCATTGGACAAGTAAAGTATGTTTTGTTTCCCTTGCAGACAGAAGCATAACCTTTATCAAAAACTACTTTGTAACCCGCTTCATTCATTTTATTTACAGATAGCAGATTATACGGCAACGACTCAACGATCAATGCGTTTATGTTGCTAATCAACTGATTGTTGTCTGAAACTTTTACTTTAAGCTTGCCTGCTTTATTAGCAACCATTGATTCCCCGTTGGCTACTTTTATTTTTAAGGGAACAATGTTGTGTACATCAGTCATATGTGTTTCATATTGTGAACTTACCATAGTATTTGTCGCACCAGAGTCCAGAACAAAACTTATAATTCCTTCGTCACACTCTACCTCGGTAGACAAGGCTGTGAAAGTTAGCTCCTCTTCTTCTACCATATGAGCTCTTGACTGTTGGTTAGGTTCATGTGTTCTTGCATTGTTATGTCTGAAATTCTGCTTGCCTCTTCCACGATAGTTGTTTCTGAAATTCCCTCGTAGGCCTACATTATTACTTTGAGTCTGAGGTTTGGGACAATCAGATATCAAATGTTGTGTACTACCACACCTGAAACATTTAGGCCTAGGTCTAGGTTTAGATTGTGCTCCATAACCTACACTGAATGTACAATCACTTGACAAATTTTTATTAGCCGTACCGGTGCCTGAAAGTTTAAGTTCTACATCCAATAATTTACTTTTAACATAGTCTAGTGTCAATGTAGAATTTGTGGTTTCCAAAACCGTAATCACAGTATCATACTTTTTAGGTATGGTTAGCAACAAATGGCAGACCTTGTCATCTTCGTCGAGCTTACAGCCTGTTGCCTAGAGGTGGGGAGCAAATAACGCAGCCGTTATTTAATAACGGTTATTGGACGATAACTGTTATCGGCAACAGCTGTTATCGAAAACTAGGAGTTATCGATAACCGTCAAAATAACTGTCTGCTCTGCTGTGAAATTGTTATTTTTAGTAACGGAGCGTTTGCCAATCGGTTTAAAATATTTTTATTTGTGTATTTTTGACATTAACTAACATTTTGTAGCAAATAAGATAACCACTTAGCTGTATATAATATCGGACTTGTTTAATAATCTCATAAAAGTAAAGGTTATTGCCACTCAAGACTGTTGCTGTAGCGCAGCAAACACATACACGGCTGCTTAACAACTAGAGTTATTAAATAACTGCGTGGTGTGGCAGCGACGGTTATCCAATAGGCACAGGCAGCCATACGGCTGATCGACAACTGGAGTTATTAAAATAACTGCGAGGCAGCGACGGTTATCCAGTAGGCACAGGCAGCCATACGGCTGATCGACAACTGGAGTTATTAAAATAACTGCGAGGCAGCGACGGTAGCAGTCTCTCAAACTGCCGCGTAACAACTGTGGCGCAGTAGATAGCCATACGGCTGCTCGACAACTGGAGTTATCCAATAACTGCCTAGCGGCGACGGTTATCGGGCAGCCTGAGTTTCTTGCCAGTTGCCAGTACTGCTCAGCTCGGAGCTCGGCTGAGAGTTATTTGATAACCGTTATTTTAAACAGTTATCGTAACACAGCTAGTGGGCAAATAACAGCTGGGCATTTCTGACAGTTATCCCCACCTCTACTGTTGCCTCTAGATCTCTAATGAGAGAATCAAATTTAACAAAGTGGTCTTGCAGTTTCTTATCCTCACTACACTTTAAGGACAACAATTGTCTTCTTACAAATAGTTTAGACAAAGTACTTTTCCGCTCAAATATGTTTTTCAGACATGCAAACATGTCATACGGTGTTTCGCAACCTTTCAAATACTCCAAATGTCTATCCGTAACACATTGTACAATAATGGACATTGCTTTAGCTTCCTTTGACTTATGTTCGAGTAGGGCCTTAGAATCCATTTTAGCCAAATCATCTTCTTGTTTCTTCTCAAGAGAAATTTCCTTAACATTTTTCTCTGCTAACAAACATTCGACCCTAAACTTCCAATTAGAAAAATTGGGACGGGTGGCGTCGTCCTGTAATCCAGCTACTAGGAGGTCACGAATTGTGGATATTTATAGGGATGCACTGTGGATGCGATGCTCACTGGTGTGGATTAACGTCCGCACTAGTGAGTACTACGACTATCCGCAGTACTATCCTGATAATTAGACCAATTCGTAAATTACAAGGAAAAATGTGGTTCGGATTCCACTATAAACTGTAGGTCCCTTAGTTGCCATTAGCTGTATGGGCTATTAATTAACAGCTGTGTCTAAGGAACATGTCGGCCTTAGTCACTAACAAGACTACAAGATCGCGCCACTCATCCTACACTCATCCTTCACTCATATTTGGGTTAAAATACGCATAGTGGCGTCCCCATCTTAAATAATTGATAATTGATGATTGATTGATAATTGATAGTGTCGCTAAGTTGCGGAAAGTTATGGTTGCTGGAAGCCATCTTCATAAAATTTTCTTCTTGTCAATAATTGGGCTTTACTTTATACATCTCTTCATTTCATATATCTCTCCTGGGCCCATAACCTGTAAAGAAAAACTATTTGTTCGGTTGCTAAATAAAGCTGACACAATTATTATAATATTCCCTTTATTAATGAAACTACATTTCACCTTGTAGACCTATACAACAGACATCGTGAAGAAGTTACATGACTCTAGATTGACGAAAAAACAAAAAACCAAAGTTATTCTTATTTTACAGTGTTGCCACTCTATAGCATAGTAAGATCAATAATACAACAAGTTGAGGTTGACATATATAGTACAAAGTGGTTATTTTCTACAGTATAATTGGCAAC